CAAAACTTTTTTAAGGAACCTGATCATTTAATTAAGGAATTCTCAAAAGTGACTTGGCTTAAGAAACACTTGATCTGTGAAACCGTACCTTTTTTAGGACATGGAGAGTTTTCCTTTAGGGCTACTCTTTCAGGAATTCAAAGAACTATTTAAAGAACTTTTAATCTCTTGGTTTGTTCGGGATAATGAAGGAAGGTTTCAGGGAAATTGATGATGTGTTTTATTAGATTTTTGAACACCAGTGGAGTTCTGGAAAATTAGGTACATCAAGATTTTGATACAACTTACAAACTGCAAAGCACTAATGAACTTTCCCTCAGCACAGCAGAAACAGATCGTTCTGGGTGCTTGTAATCACACTATTCAATGGTGTCAGCACATAGCTCACATCTGAGTTTAGTTCTTAATGGTGTGCCTCTGACAGATGAAGCGCATTTTGCTGGAGCAGTGCAGATCGTTAAGACGTCCTTCAGAATGAAGATGAGCGCAGTCTTCATCCCCGGGACCGAGACCATGATGGGTCCAGGCGTCAGGCTGCCCAGGTTTCCACCTCCTACAAAAGAATGATACAAAGTGAGTCTTAAGGTGAGCTGCAACCACCATGACAGACAAGAGAAGCCAGCGTCAAAGCACGTGAAGTTGCAGTTCCTCTAATGTCCAATTGAGGCTCGTTCCAGCAGTCACTCAGTTCCCAAAAATTTTCAAGGTAAAACGTCCAACTTTACAGCCGCTATAAACATTTTTGCAGCTCATACAATGAACTATATGGGAAAATGCGCACAGAATTTCTCAATCACAAATGCAGTAATGCCAAATAACTATTTATAGTTATGTCTTGATGCATGCTCAATCATCCAGGTAAGGAAATCTCCAAAACTTGATTCTGTTCAACTGAAAACGTCCAGATGAACAGAATCACGTTTTGGATATTTGTAGTTACAGTTATCGCCAAACATACATAAGCATGACCACTATGATATAAATATAATAGTGGTGTACCCCTGAGATTATAATAATGTAGATGTGACATGAAGTGCCTGAGGACTGGGACTTCAGTTCAGCAACGAAATGAAGAGGCTGTTTTTTCCTGCCTGGTGGTCTGGACTATGAAGGTCCTGCAAAAACACTTTCAGATGTCAGCAGCGAGTACAGCTGATGAGGAAGTGGTAGTCCCGAAGATGCCGCTTAGATGTCTGATGATTTTCTATGATTATGGCTCTCTGGACACTTTTCCTTTTGTCCTTTGCGTACTATGTGTGACATACTCTTTGTAGGTGTCTTTAAAAAGAACATGTGAGGTCATGTGAACTCCTCATAAACATAAAGCAGGACACCCTCGCCACTTCATACCTTTTGATATTGGAAAAAAGGATGTCTTTGTTTTTCCAGAAGCTCATAATGATGGTGATGATGGGACTGAATATAACGTCTATTAAATCTATTCATTCTACAATTAGGATTCTTTAAAAATCATTGTCTCACAATGACTCTGGGTTAACTGTAAATAGAAAATGTTGCAAATGGTTTCCTGATAATATTGACTCATGATATTTTACTCATGATTAATTACCTAATAGTGTTTATAAATGAACAAGAATAAATATTAGAAATATGCCGAATTAGAAAAAAACCCCAAAAGACACATCCTTTTTTAACAAAAGGTTCATCATACTTGGACTGTGGTGCCTTTAGCAAAAAAAAAAAAAACCCCAAACAAACAAAAAATCAGCATCCTAAAGACCTCTCTTTGCTGTCTAGAAGTGAAGTGGTCGCAAAGAGGGCGCTGCTTTAGCAACCATTTTCACAGTAACTATCAGCCAGTAATAACTGCTCACCAACTACTCAGGGAATACCCATTTTCCCCTAGTAACCAACACCAGGCCTGTGTGACTGAGGTCATTCATGGCTGGTCTAAATATAGGGAATCTGTGTAGCAAGATTACCTTTGAATGGTTGATACACTGGTTATGTACTCTTATGTAGCACTATTGTCTTCCTTATGGCAGTGTTTCCCAACCACTGTGTCATGGCACATAGGTGTGCTGTGAGAAATGATCAGGTGTGCTAGGAAGGTTATCTTGTTCCACCTGATTGGTAGTCTAAGCGACCGGCATGAGTAATGGGCAGAACAATTACATTCTCTTCCTAATTGGCAGTACAAAAAACACAGCCCCTCATTTTCTTGCATGTATACCATCAGTTGTTTTGTTTTTTAAGTGTAACAGCTTACCTCCGGTTCATGATGTAGGGTGTCTGGTTGACCCACTCCCACTGCCCAGTCCTCTCATCAGTCAGACCCACCCAGTGGAAGGAGCCCACAGTACGCTGGGTCACAAAATCCTGTTAAAGGCAGACGGACAGAAAACTCTAATTTTCAGTTTCAATCAAGGATCAATACAGGCTCCTCCCCTTTTCAGTCACATACATGAGCTGTAGTTCGGCTTTTATTGATTAGCTCATCACAAAAGAGCTCCTATTGAGGTGACAGTGTGTTTAAGCTGCATCACAAAGTTGAGTGTCAGTGCAAACAGATGAGAGGGACAGCCAACTCACCCACTCCTCGTCAGTGAGAAGAATGACCAAGTGAGATTCGTGTCCATTACACCAGTCTCTGGCATCGTGCCACGATAATGGCATGGTACTGAATAAGTAGCAGTTAGTGCCGAAAGAATCCCAATTCAGAGGACAACAGCCGTGTGATGTCGTGCCTGACAGACGGACAGACAGAAAGTGTCTGGTTTCCATGTTTTATAAGTCATTTCAAAAATACACTTTTAGATATTGGAGACCTTCTTTAAAAGGGGACAGTCATAGGAGATATTAGACAGTCGTTGTGAGAAGTCGTTTTAGAAAAACATATTTTTAGTGAAGAAATATGATGAGATTAACATCATCCTTTTCAAAAAAAAGATCAGTGGATGAAAGCACACAATCACATGGTTAAGAAATTCTAAAATAAAAGAAGGCCAAACAAATAATAACAAATAAATATAATAAACAAATGGAACAATTGGAGAGCTTAATACAAATCTTAAATTAGGAAATAACACGATTTAGTTACTAATTTCCTCATAAGACCTCGCTCCCCCCCAGAGAGACAAAACCTTTCTGCCTTAGCTTGTTACAGTTTATACAAAGAAACATGAAGTTTGGTTCTTAGCTTCAAGAACCTGTTTAAACCTTCCAGTAATGCCTGCAGGTGTTTGAAGTTGGTCTGAGCTCATCAGATGCCTCAGACTCAGAGATAAATGACTTGGGGGGCCAATGAACCAAGGCACATTTATACACAGGCTTCTTCTTTAGTAACGGTAAAGCTGTTCTATAAGCTTAAAACTGTGAGGGCATCTTTGGTAAATGAAGCAGAGGGAACAGGATTAGACGGGAGCTGTGTACCGTTGTTGACCAAGCGTTCTAAAGAACATTTGAGTTCGGCGACCGTCCTGCGGAGAGCGTCCAGGACTGAGAGCTGCCTCAGTGCCTCTGATACTGAGGAATTGCACACACAAAGCAGAGGTATGTTAATAAAACTACTTGCTAGTGTTAATGTGTATGCAGTGTTGCTCTGCAGAGTTTCCACCTGATGCCAGCTGGTCCTTGTTGTTCTCCACAGCAAACTTCATTGACAAAACTTCTTTTGCTGTATCTGTGGTAGAAGAACGGGAAACTAAAGTGTGAAAAAGACGAAAAAGCCAG